CGAAATGAAAACTGTATCGGGTCCATAAACTGCACAAATTTTATTGGCGGCTTGAGATGCATTTTTGCCTTTATCGTAGTAATACTGTAAAATATGCCGTCTTTTCTCTTTATTTTCCTCCATGTTTGCGACGCTATAACTCACGAACGACTTGATAGAAACAACAATCAATCAAACACGTGTTAGCGCGTTTCCATAAAGGTATAGCATGACCTGATGCGACGAATAAAACTAGAACTACGCGCTCTCAGCGCCAACTAGCGAAAATACAAATAATTTTCGTGGAGGAAAGAATTCATTTTTGATAGTAACACTTTTTAAAATATTTTAGAAATATTTTTTATAAGATACGTACATATATCAGATTTCAATTGAAGCAGAGTTGAAAGGGAGCGACTTAACTGCTATTCACGTTTAGCTCGCCTTTTCTSATTTACAAGTTTTTCTATTTCATTACTGATGATCTTTCTAAAACCAACTGGTTTATTGTTTCTATTTGCTGTTGCCAATACAGCTGCATTAGTTAGTATAGCATTAAATTCTCTTTTGCTTTCATCAATGTCTCTTTCTGTATTTATTTTACAATYAATCAAATCAGCTGATATGTTTTCTATACTTCAACCAGTTAGTTTTATCAGATGTTAGTGTTTTGGCTCAAATATCATGGGTTGTTCGTATAACTTTATTAGTTCAGAAGAGTTAGCAGATAATAAGTCTGTACATGTATCAGCTGTCATAAGCGGTCTATCTGGTATTTTTTTCTATCACTGGGCCAGTATGTCGGCTTGCCAGGAGATATACAGCCCTATTCTAAAAAAAACCTCTCAACTGAGCTGAGAGGAAAAATTTGAGAGATTTCTTGTGAGGCATATTTTGTGAGGATATTCTTGCTTAAACCTCATAAGAAAAATGCTTAAAAAAGTCAAAACATGAGGTAAAAACTTTTTTCTGTCAAACAGCTGTTTTAATAAAAATATGCAAACAAAAATGGACACACAAATGGATAATCAGCATATGTAAGTAATTTTGCAAATTCTAAATGTAACTATAATAATTTCATATATTCCTAGGCGTACAAAAACGGAGAGGTCAATTCAGGAGCAGCTGCAACATTACATAATGTTTTGCAAGCCACATCCTGAGTTGCAACGGAGGAAGCTAACTCCGACTAACCCTCAAGGGCTGCAAATACTTTGGTCGGAGTTAGCAGATATCTTAAATGCCTTAAGAGGTCCAACTCGGTCGGCAGYCAAGTGGAGGGAGGTACATARGTTCATAAATGCCTGTGTATGTTTCATATTATTAAAATATGTTTCCGTAGTYCTTAATGCATTGGAAACGTCTACATGCACAAGCGACTGGTGGAGGCCCTCCGATAAAAGGAATAACTGAGTTCGAGGAGCAAGCCATTACAACCTTTGGGGCAGCAGCGGTGGATGGATTGCYGGGTGTTGCAATTTTGGGTCACCAGGTAATACTTTAATTCAATATTTGTCGGACTTTATTATTATTAAATGAGGCAATAATTGGTCCGTTTTATACTTACAGGCTTTGCCGCCGTTGTATTTAAAAACAGCCCCAACAACAACAGTCACATCGCCTGCTCCAGCTTTTCCTGCTCTCTCTGTAAATTTTTCCTTCCTTATCTCCTACCATCTTACCTTCTTCTATGCCATCGCCTACTTACATCCTTTCTGAAGGTAAATTGACTGCAGCGAAGATGCTTGGAGCAGTGCTAAAAAAAATGGAGGACCGCGAAAAGCGATAGGAGGAGGTCATTGCTCCACAAAAGAAAATTGTAGACCAAAATGTGCAGATGACAGGGGTGCTGAACCAAATGACACAAGCACTAACCTCGATGTCAGAGGTTATAGTTAAATTGTGTGAAAAATTAGATAAATAATAATAAAAATAAAATAAAATGAATTATTTAAACATACATATGTATTGTTATACTAAAATACTAAAATAAAATAAATTATTTAAACATATGTAGATATTTTTTTTATTCAAACTTAGAGGAAGYAAAATGTATAGAGACAGTAAGTAACTTACATATATATATATATATACTTATATCTTTAGAATATAACGCTACTGGAAATCTGTCTCTTATACACATCTAGATGTGTATAAGAGACAGGTAAAATCCTTTCCGGTTCATGAAAAGTGAGAGAGGAGTAGTGGCGTCTGTGCTTGAGGGTGAAACAATCCCAATATGGGTACAATCGATTGCGCCGATTGTGCCCTTGATCCCAAATTTCGTGTAAAATCTTTAAGAGAAAATTTATTTATTTATTTATATATATTTTTATTTATTTATCTTACCGCTTTTTTTGTATTTGAAACATCCTGCGCGCTTGAAGGGAAATAAATTTCACTGCCCTTAACATCCACAATTAATTTCGAAATAAAGTGCAGAGCTCTAGACAAAGAGGACTGCCTCATAGAGAGCAAATAACTATTACCAACGCATTTTTGGTAAGAACCATGCCCGTAAAAATACAAAGTACTTTACATAACGATTTTGGGAATCGAAATGTATTTATAAATGTTGTGTCTTGCATTGTAAACGGATCGCTTTTGTCTCGTAAACCCATCAAAATTTTCCTCCTACCCCCCGATTCTCCTCCTCAACAATTGCCGCATACACAAAGAACCTTTCCTTCGTGCTAGTTATAACCCTCAAATATTAAAAAAAAAATTTAAATAATGATGTAAAACAAACACAGATKTTTTTGTATTGTGATGGCTGCTTTCACACGTCACAGATAATAGTGAGCATTTGAGCTTTTGAATTTTCGTCAGCATAAGGTAACCAACCCTCACTGTAGTGAGAAATACTACTACTCCCAACTCCAGACTCTCCCACGGAACCACCTGATTAACTTACTTCGTGGGAGTGATAAGACATTTAAGTCTCTTCTATGGCACGGACTGACGAACGCCTACTATGCTCTATATGACTCAGTTTTGTCATGATTGAGGCTGCCGCTTCGCTGACAGCTCTCCAGTTCTCAGTGGACTGACACATGAGTATCGTCAAATTTTCCACCGTAAAACTACCACCGAGTGTAGTTTTTAGTTTTTCCCTTGCACTTATAAATCGTGGGCAATAAAAGAAAACATGCTCCGAGTCTTCACAGCACTCTGAACACGACGGACAATTCGGACTAGTGTCATTTTGGAATCTATACAGGTAACTTCTAAARCACCCATGCCCACTTAGTATTTGGGTTAGGTGGAAATCCAGGTCCCCATGTCGTCTGTCGATCCAGGAATGGATGTCCGGTATTRGTCTGTAGGTCCACCGTTCYTTAAGTGAGGTTTGCCACCGCTGCTGCCATATCGTTAAGCTTTTCATTCTCTCTTCTCTTTTGGCTCCTATAGATGGCTCTGGTAATTTGTAAACTCGTTCGTATTCATCACCTTKRATGTCAATGGGCAYCATACTGGCTATTACTTCAGCTACTACTACTACTTCACTAGAGTGAGTGCGGTGATTTTTGTGAGGGCATGAGAATAGGGCAGATAATATCTGGTTATTATGCTTATTCATAATAGTGTAGTACAATCCTTTCGGATTAATAAGACGTCAGCCCCAGTACGTGTGTTTTGCGTTGTAATCTTCACCTGCTAGAAATCTTTGACCCAGCGTTATAAAAAATTCTTGAAATTTGCAATCTGTAATTTTAAAACGAGGTGGACAGTATATAGTCGTAAAGCTTATGTCACAATCCCGATTTTTAGGAGTATTGTTCTAGCTTGTTACTGTKCTGTAGCATGAGATTCATAGAGTCTAAATCCCGGTATATTGAAATTATTTTTATTTGTTAGATGAGTTTCTGATATAAGCATTACATCTATATCTTTTTTCAGAGAGTTTCATTACGGAATGTTTGTAACGTTTCGTTACAACGGGCTTGAATTGCGACAGACAATTAAGTTTTTAAGTCTTTAACTTGCAGTGTGATTTCCCCCACAATTACCACATTTTTAAACATTTAAACCCTCTTTTTTAAGAGTACATTTTGAAGTAGAATGTAGATCACCACACAGACATTGCGTAGGGTGCAATATGCTTTCGTGCGTTCATACTCTTGACAGTTTACACATTGTAATGGTCCATTTCAGCAGATACTTTAAATTGYAAATCGGGTTTATTTAATTTTTCTTTAGTTGATTAAAAATTGGCATCATTTCTATTTTGAACAATGGTTGTGGAACTTTGTACCTGTTAAAAATATTTACTACTGGTTTAATACTAAAACCACCTTCTACCTGTGCTTCTTTAACATCATTAGAGTATACGGAAGACTCAACCCTTCTATTAGAACAGCTAGGCATACTGAGTTCTTCAGTTGGTAAGAGTAGTTTATGTTTATGTTTACTATTTATTACTAATAATTTGTGGTCACTGATTTTTATTTGATTGTTTGTTTTTATTTTGGTTTTACCCCCTTTCACAGTATATGAAGAACTGCTGAGGGAAAAGTGCTTCTTCCTAGCAACTTTGATTGATTTATGTAGCTATATGTATATTACGTACATTAAACCGATTAACGGCCACACTCACTTTAAAGGCCAAAGTGTCATTCATTACTTGCCCCTTCCAATTTACAGTTTTTGTCAGTGTTTGAAAAGCTACTGTACTCTCGTAGCAAAAAATTAAGAGACGAGRTAATATGAGAGCAGAGCTAACTAGATTTTTCATGTGCTACAGCTTTCGAATGTGTTTGTTGTTTTTTCTCTGTTTTGGCTATTTTCCGTCTTAATATTTGAATTAAATGAATAATAGAAAATTGTATGCAACTAATTTTGAAACTTTTGATTATTGATGACCGCGTGAAATGCAAAAGATGTTCGCGTGTTTTAAAAAAAGATCGTTTTTAAAGAAACATTTACTATTACATGATATGCGACCTGAGCAGAAAGAAACCAATTCTGGTTGCGTGCAGAACAAAAAGAACATGAAACATCAAGTGGTAAAAGTTCAAGTCAGTAAACAAGTGGTAATTCGTTCATACATTGTCTTGTCACTGTCAATGCTTAARTCACGATGTATTGGAAAATATACTTCTTGTCTGGCTGAACACAACACAACTAACTGAATAAAATGATTTTTKGATTTAGATCTTTTCTGAAAACAATATTTTGACAATTTTTTTTTTATACCCTGAAGGTTATAGTTTGCCACGAAGTTTGTAACACCTAAAGTTAAGCGTCGGTGACCCTATAAAGTAAATATATAAATGGTCAGTATCTTGAGCTGAGTTGATTTAGCCATGTTCGTCTATCTGTCCGTTTGTTCGTATGTATATATATACGAACTAGTCCCTCAGTTTTTAAGACATTTTAAGAAGCTGCTCATTTGTCGGAACTGCCGATATCGGACCACTRTAACATRTAGCTGCCATACAAACTGAACGATCGGAATCAAGTTCTTGTATGGAAAACTTTCACATTTGACAATGTATCTTCACAAAAGTTGGCACAGTTATTTTCTAAGATAATAGTGTAATCTCCGAAGCAATTTTTCAGATTGGTTAAGTATAGTATATGGCTGCCATATAAACTGAATGATCGGGGAATCAAGGGCTTGTATGGAAAACTTTCGCATTTGACGTGGTATCTTCACGAAATTTGACACGGATTACTGCTGGTAATAATAAAATCTCCGAAAAAATTGTTCAGATCGGATGACTATAGCATTTAACTTCCATACAAAATGAACACGTAGTTACTAAAAGAAATGCAGCACGTGTGAACTAAATGCTTCGGCAACAAAAAACTAACAATATTATATGTGCATGCGAAAGCTGTAGCACAAGAAAATTCCAATTAGCTCTGCTCTCAATTTTTTGCTACCGCTACGCCTAACCAGAGCACATTTTTGACCATTGCTACAGCTATAGTTTTTTATCTGACAAAACTCCGAGCAGAGCAGAGCACGTACTTTTACATTGTTTTTCTATGGCTCTGATACGGCTCCTTGCAAAGTGGGAGCGGTAGCAATAGCATGGTAATAATTCYAGAAATTTCGTTGTCTCGGAGTAGTAAATGAAAGCCTAGGTTTTGTTAGTTTCATTCTTAGTTTTAACACTTTACAAGTTTTCGTTCAATGGCTCTGTGATAGTAGCAGTCGTTCGATTACTCCCAGCACCCTAATAGGTATCATATATAAAATTCCCTATAAATCAAAGGTGCCTCAAAGATACGTGCCTTTTCTGTACAACAAAGGCTTCTAATCTAAAACCTAAACTAAAGACAAAACCTTATATTTGGATATATGTATGTAGAAGAGAGCAAAGACTGGTCATGTAGCGAAATGAGCACGAATAACCAGTGCAGTATGAGATGGAGCATTATCGCAMTTCCTTGTTCAATAAATTCAGATACAGTAAAAATCGGAAAATTAACTTTTAGTGCCTCACAAARCAACGCGTATCTGAAATACTAATAAATATTTTGAGGTGAAATTTAGCATAGATGTTACTAATAGTACTATCAACTTACAGAAAAAAAAATTGGGCTGCCTTTAATGCTCTCCAAGCCACACTTCTCTACTATAAACAATTTTATTTCGAATATGAAAAACGTATTTTTAAAGGTTAAGTGTTGATGAAATATTTTAGAACATTCAACTGTACCTCTACCGCCAAGACCATGCATAACACGTTTTTCCGCAYATGCAAGCATCTTGAATGAAAAACACAAATCTTTTTTATTTGATAAATTTACATGTGATTTATTTATAGATTTAAGAAAAAATAATACAAAAGAATGTGAAATACATATTCGATTTTTTTTTTTTTGAATGCAT